GGTACTTCAAGACTTTCGTTCCGTGGAGCGGATCAACAAGTTGACAAAGAGCTTTCGCACGGGTTGTTGGGTGCACGCATTGGTGACCACATGCCACCAACGCATCAGCCTTTGTCAGACAACAAAGGCAACACCGACGTCGGCCAGGCTGGGACATGTAAAGAACTTGGTCATGTTTGGTCGTGTGAGTCACGTCAGGCCTTCTGCCACAACCACGCCATTGCCTAAAGACGCTTTGGAGGATTGCAGAGATTAGCCACTTGGTGTTGATCGATCTTGGATGAGACTCCGAGCGTCATTCCTCGCTGAGCGTGCTGAAGCTAACTGCGAGTTGGATCAAGTCGAGAAGTGGGGCAGAACACCTGCAGCAATGTTCACCTCAACATCTTATCCCATGTTCCTGCGGTCATGCTAGCTTAGCTACCTTTCAGCAATGTTTTGCATGCCACATTCGCATCATGGCTGGTGCGGCAGCATTGGCATGTTTCTGTGCCAGGCGCGGTTTCTACCCGGCCTACCCTACAGAGTCATTTTTAGGGGCTTCAACCCCTTACATCTCGAAGTCCAACTTACGCAGCGCCCTGCATCAATCTGAGTGTGCGATCATGTTGCCGGCGCATGCTTCGCAATGGCAGCCTGCAGCCGCCTGGCATTGGCCCACCGATATGGCCGCCACAACTTTTTGCTACGTCGCGCATTGCCAAAGTGCAGAGACTCTCGGCGGTTGGCTTCAGGAACGTGTGAACAGGGTAAGGGGTTGCAGTTCTGCGGCAGGGTTTCCTGATGTGGGTTGTGTTGGTTGACGTTCTTAGGTGTTAGAAGGCTTCCCTTGGAGAAGCTCAAGCCAAACCAATGTCCAGAAACCCTAAACCCTAAAGTGTCATTGAGTGGACGTCCTGGTGACCAGACTTCTGCCAATTTGCATGAGTCGATCGTGGCGTGCAGTTTTGTGATCTGAGTGAGTGTTTGGCACAGTGCCGTGGAGTGGATCTGAGTGAGTGCTTTGTTCACAGCTGTGGATTGGAAATTCGTGATTTGTACTTTCTAACTATAGTCTCTGTTGATGCGAAAGATGACGAGCTCTTGATGAGCAACATCCGATTTCAAACCTGATGATCTTTTTGTTGTGTATCAACTTGAGATACTGCGACTGGAAAGCTCAGCTCGCGTTGTCTGTCAATCTCCTTGGCCGCAGTACCAACCCTGCGATGCGGGGGGCAAAAACCCCCTGAAACATGCCGAGGCCGGAGTCGCAGACCATGCAGCTGGGAGCTGAAAGAGCGTTCTTTGAGAACCAGCTCCTCGGTCTGAGAGACCTGGAGAAGGGGCATAGCCATGGCAAGCCTTCTTGCGTCGGGCAGTTGGGCACAGCAGTTTTGTGTAGATTGAGGTGCCATGCCTTGCTGTGGCACTGCGCCGAGCTGGAGGAAGCAAACAAATTGATGAAGACCGAGCACCTTGGATGCAACAGAACTCGCAGCTTCGCACCTTGCCCGTTTTTCCACAAACAGGTCCAAGGTCGCGAAGGACAACCAGAGGAAAAGCCTGAAGGTCCACAAGGAGCGAACCTTCTTGCTGAAACCTTCCGGCGCTGCTTCCTTTAGGCTAGATGTCTGTCCGGAGGGATGGCTCGTACCAGGAAATCTTCTACCAACTGCAGCACGAGAAAGATGATGAGGCAGAGGCGAGCAGCGATGCAGCTATGGTACTTTTCCAGCAAAACACATGCAACTGGTTCAATCACGATGTTGATGTTTCAATCGTTGACCTGCTTTGAGTAATTTGTTGAACGAACCTGAAACATTGAAGCATCCAAGCTTCCCGACAACCGAGAGGCATGCATGCAATTCAACAATCAGGAAATACAGGCTCTGCCGCAATCAGGTTCCTCACTAAGAAGTCGCATTGGCCGCACCCTTTCAGCGTCCTTGACATGGCAAAACATCCTGCCTTAGAACCTGTTGCTCAGTGCAATACCGACGTTTAGGAGTCGGTTGCACGCGAGTATATTCCTGGTCATCGAGGCCGAAAGTTTATTGTTATGCCCTGGTATGCAAGTTTATTTTCAATTCTCGCGGGCATATTTCTGGAAGCATGTTGGGACTACAGCAGTCCATTTGTGGTAAGTAATATCATGGTAGGCCCAAAGGATGTTTCTTCTTGTGTCCGGGCTCATGAAAAGACGTGGGGTTGGGGGCTATAGGTGCACAGGATGTTTCTTTATTGTGTGTGAGTCTCACGAGCGTTGCACCGGATGTTCATGCGCCCGGCAGAAACAGAGACATGATAATAAGTTTGCAGGGAGGGAGGGAGGGAGGGGGCTGTGTGCAATGTATTTTGCCCGCATTGTGATTGGAGACTTTAGATTTTGGCGAGGCCAGGAAGGGGCCTCCAGGATTCCTTTTTGATTGTCGGTCTGGTGGCTGCATAGACTGTTATAGATCTTGTCATATGTCATAGGCTATGAAATCCATAAGAGAGTTGAAATCAGTTTGCGCTGCTCAGACCTCTAAAGTACCGTACGCGACATTCCTTTGCCCATCTGTGCCGCGCCAACATGATTGCAAGCGCTTGCAGAGTCTGCTCAGTATAAATCTCAAGACCGTCACAAGCCTGAGGCAGCCAAATGCCGTGAAGTCGAGCTGATGACAGCGCTGGAGAAAATGAGCCAGAGGCGGGACTGGCAGTGCTGGTGTGTGGGCGCTGTGCAACCGGTGGTGAGGTGCGAGAAGGCGGAGGCGTTGCTTGAAAAGAGAGCGGCAGAAAACCCGCTGCTCCTTGCAGAGCCTCCAAGCTGAAAGGGCGTGCTGAGCTGTCAGAAGGGTCGGTGCCGTGCTATGCCGTGAAGTCTTGCCATATACCTTTTGCGCACTTAGATTGGTAGCCCTGGGTTTCTTGTTTACTCGTCCCGGTACGTCCGATGGTTCCGGACAGCTTTCAGCGTGTGTTGTGTTCAGGTCCAAGACTCTAAGATGAACGCGAACAACGACTAAGGATTCAAGTTCTGAGACAAGGGGCAGGCGCATGGCTTTAAGCAACTTTAAGACCATGATGAGGCTGGTGGGCATGTCTTCCAGGTCTCAAGACCACTGGTATACTATGACCGCGCCAGACCACAGTGTGGTCTACTGAGCAGCAGTATGTATCTATCTATCTGTCTACCTCTCTTTGGCTTTCTACAGTATCTATCTATGTATCGATATGTCCTTGATCGCGGAACGGGCGGAACGTTTGCACGAAGTGGGACCCAAGCATGTGTCGATCGCAGCATGGGTATACCACATGCATACTATGCTTGCGGTGCCGCGGTTCCTTTCCCCTTGTAGGCGTTCTTTAAATTGATCTTCTACGAACCAGTGCCGAACCAGTTTGCGAATCAGTTAACTGAATGTTTGCTACGGCGATTGTTGTGGTTTGATATGCTGCCGCTTAGTGGCTTTGGGCTGTGCGGGCAATGCTTGCGGATGCCGTCATTTGTGAGCGATGGCTTTGAAGCGCTTTCTCTTGTAACACTCTTTCAAAAGTAAACATCGATTCGCTCACCGACTGGGCAGTCTTTGTCACATTGGTTCCGCACGGCTGCACGTGGCTGCTCGCAGCGACGTTGCAGGCTGCAGTATTGTGTGCCGCGCAGCCGTGCAGCCCAGGTCTTCGACGGAGTCTGAGACGATTGCTTGCAGGGCGGATGAGGTTGAGGACCCCTGCGACTCACCCAGGCTTTTGCTGCAACTTGACCGCATGAAGCCGAGGAAGGCGCGCTATGTAGGAGTCGGTTCACGTTGCACTTGAGTTCTTGGATCTGGTAGAGGACCGATGAGGGATTTTGTTTTGGTGCTGTGGCGCAACCAACTTGTGCAATCTAGCCACAGCGCCTCACGGAGCGATCGTGATCCGTGCTGCTAGCCGCCAGCTTGTTGCCCTTCGAAGCCTGAACTTAAAGATTGGCCTTTGGAGCTGCCCTATTCTGGGAGCCTCGAAGTTGTCCAGCAGTTCGGAGTATGTGTGCGCATTACTCAAATTGACCTTCCCAGGTCCACGGAAGACAAGCGCAGCGGTGACCGGGGGGAACTCCGAGGGGAAACAGGACCCGACCAGCTCGCAGCATGCTGCAGGATCCAACGAGCCTGGCGCGCTTGTCGGCTCGACCTACTCGGCGAGAAGATGCTCCAGCATGCCGCAGAAAGAGGCTTGCAGCCATCCTTGTTCAACAAGGACGACTTCGATTCTTCAGATGTTGCCCCGCAACGATGGACTGACAGACAGAAATGGCGTGCGCTGCAAGCTGCCCCAACCTTCATGCAACAATCCCCAGTGACCCCAGTGGCATCCGCCACTCTGTGCCCGTCCGTCTCAGAAGGCTGCAGGCTGACACTTTGCCGCCTCTGTGGAGATGTGGGCACGGCTGCGATGGAGCCTGGCGAACTGGAAGAAGATCCTCGGCTTTGTCGGCCATGCTGACCCAAAACTGGTGAAACCAACACACCCAGCCCAGTCTGACAACGGGAGTCAACACAAGACGAAATCACGCAACGTCCGTTCGATGCCGACCGTTTGATTGCATGCTCTCAGCTGGCACGCCCACCACCTGAGGGGAACCGCTCCGATACAACCCAAAACGACCAAGGCAGCACATTCACAGGTTCTGTCGTGTCACCTGCCGTCCGTTCGATATCGACCGCTTGATTGCATGCTCTCAGCTGGCACGCCCACCACCTGAGGGGAACCGCTCCGATACAACTAAAGCGACCCAGGCAGCACGCACCAAGATCGATGCCGAATGCAGTACTTGCAACCATACTGTAAGGCAGCAAAGATGGATTCGGAAAATTCGGATCGGGTTTTTGGAGATTCGGACTTTTGGTCAGGATTAGTGATTAGTGGTTAGTAAAGACTGGCGTTTGCCAGTTACAGCACATGCTTATACACATGCAACAAGCATGTAAGCGCTTTTGGCTGTTAGGTGCGATGGCGCCGAACATTCAACTAATTTGCAGATAAACATGGGCCGCAACCAGGTACGCGGCACAGTGGTCACGGCAGCAAAGGTTGTGGGCGGCGCTTTTTATGAACAGCACCAGCTGTCAGATGGCTCCAGCATCATTGAGCTGACCGGCATCGGCTCCTATCAGTCTGTCGGCGTTGGTCAACCTTTGATGGATCACGTTGAGCAAGTTGCCCATGACCAAAGGCACGTTGGTGTCATTTTGCTGGCAGTGCCTTCGGCAATCGAGTTTTACCAGCGTTGCGGGTACAGCTTCCTGACCGAGACTCGCAATCCTGTTGAAAGGGCACTCTATTACCTGAGCTGCAAGGCCTCGTTTCGTCATGCTGCGATGCTCAAATATGTGTAACACTGCCATCAAATCCTTGGCAAAAGCCATATAGGTTGAAGTTGACAATAAAATATGTCTATATATATATATAATATATATATATATATATATATACATATACATCTACATACACCTGTGAACGTGATCAAAACCCATAACCCTGTCGTCTGTGCGGCCGCCTCAACGTTGGGCCAACCAGCGATACAGCAACAAACGTTCTCAATGCAGACCCTTCAAAGCCTGGGGGCACTGCCAATTCACACGGGCATGCGTGAGAGATGTGTACTCAGTTGCATGCGGCCGGATGATGTACTTGCCTTCAAACTGACGGCAACCTTGCGGTCATCGCATCCCTGAAAAGCATGGTGGATTTGAAGCTATTCGGATTGTTGTGGCTTTGAAGCGCTTTTCTTCAAACCTTGTTCCTCTCGCAGGAAGCCCGGATGCTTTGCAGCAGAACTGGCAGGCGGGAGGCTAAAAGAAGTGATGCGCAGTACATATCAGACTCACGGAGCCTAAGCAGCTGCGTCCTTGTCTTTCTTGTCCACCTGTGCTCACAGGCGCATATGGCGGCGAAGGCCAAGATGTTTATAGTTTGTCCAGTGCGAGTGCCAGAACTGTAGTTTGTTGCACTCGCTTCTGCGCGCTGCTTGAGAGGCTGCACGTGTTGTACCTCGTGCGCGACCTACTGCAGACAGAATCCGCTCGTAAGGAGTGTTGTTCGATGCAATTGCGGCCACGACGTCCTTCCCCCAAACATCCCAAAACCCTTCTTCCTTCGGGAGAGGACGCCCGTGCTCCTGTGACCAGTGCATTCAAGCTTACATGAATCCGATCAATGCAATGAGAGATCGAAGCGGCGTGTCTCAGGCCCGACCTGCCCTTGATCCTGCGCCCATGCTAGCAGCTGGCCCGATCGGTGCCTAGCTGAGGCCTATCCGCCAATGCCTGGGACGGCAAAGGGCCGGCTAGGGCCTGAGGCTGTTTGCATTTCTCGCAAGATACCTCGTTCGAAGCCCGTGGAAGACTGATTTCCAGGTCAAGGCTATCTTGTGGGGGTCAAGACAGCTTCAGGATTCCTTTACTGCTCTGCCACGGATTTCCTGCACAGCATAAGCCGCTCTGCCACTCCGCCAGAAGGAGCTGAGCCCAGAGGCACAATCGCTGGGCTTTTCAATATGTTTCAATCCCTGACAAAGCTGCTGCCGTTCCGCAGCTTGGCAGTTGGCCATCAGGTGTGTGTAAACAGCACAGCGAAGCTGCCCGCCAGCTGCAGTGCCATGCATGACTACAATTCTTACTACGATCCGCAGTCTTGCTTGTCTCTTGCCACGTTATCACAATCGGCATGAATGCTGGTCTCCGTTCGCATCATCTTCATAATTTTCGTGATCACCATCATCGTCATCATCACCATCATCCCATGTCTCGTCATGACCACCGTCACCAAATTTATCACAATCATCGCCATCAAGGTAATCAGAGCGCGCTTGGACCGAAGAGTCTTCCGACGAGGCACGGAAGGGCTGACACCAATCAGGGCCGGAGCTATATCATCGCTTGACTTATGGGGCCCGTTGGGTTTCTTTGGTGGCCGAGACGGTTTCGTGCTGGGTTTCTACTCCGCCAACAGTATGAGAGTAGACCTGCGCAGACAGAGATGTGTACGTATATACGTAAATGTACATATAATGATGATATATATATATATATACGAAAGGCCATCAGGTGCCATCGAGACCTTGTTTGTTGTCCTCGTTTGCACGTCAGGGCATGCTGACGGAGCTTCGCCGGGCAGCGCCGGTTGGAGTGCAAGTCTTTCGAAAAAGCGGACGGATTGGTCGTGCACCGAGCACAGATCCCATTCTGCACTGCAGCCGCAGCGTAAATGCCGAGAAGCATTTTAGGGCGCTTGCTATTGACACGACGCAGACCGATGACGAATTCAGATGTGTGCCGAAAGTTTGAGATTGTGTGGCTCAGAGAGGGTCAGCAGATATTGGATTCGCCAATCCTTTCCACGGAGGCAATCATGCATGCACGGTGCAATGTCGCTCCAGGCGTGCAGATCTCAACTGTATCTGAGATCCGCACAGCCGAAACATGCACCCTGTGCCAAGGCCTTCATTCTTTCGCCGCAGGATCGGGGACGTGGCAGCCTCAGAATAGCTTCCCAATTCCTCGACACGAACAATTATTGTTCTTGCAGGCATGGATGCCGTGGTTGCGGTGGCATCCTTGTCTCTGACATGTGGTGGGTGGAACGAAGTCAAGGCTGGTTTTTCGTGGTGTGGAAACATGGGGTGGGGGTATCGTCTGAAGAACTAACAGAACTGGGAGGCACGTGTAAGGGTTTGTTAGGACGTGCGAGACTGGAGCCGTGCCCGCCGTATTCCACTGTGCGAGTCGAAAGGTGTGTTTGGTTCTAGACCCTGCTCTGCACGAGCCTCTTCATGATGTGTGTAGTCAGCATGAGGACTGAGTGCGACAAAGTCGATTTCACTGACTTTCCAAACCAAATAAAGACAAGTACAGCTTCTCATTATCATCTTGTGCATATTTTCTTGACCCCGTATTGCCGTGCGTGTGCAAGTCACCATCCCTATGGCGTGTCTAGTCTGACATAGCGCTTCAGAGAAGCGCCCCGAGCCTTTCACAAGGAGTTTTGTTTATGCACAAAGCTCCTGAGCAGGCGGCGGTGGATGCGAGGACTTCCGCTGGCACAGCTCACTGAGGTCAAAGCGGAGCATTTCATGCTATGCCAGGACGCATCATTCCTTAATGGACGATGAGGAGCTGGCCAGGTGCGTCGTCAAGTGATCTTTCCGATGGATTTTCGTGTGATTTGCCTGTAAGTCCAGTCCAGTTGTCGCGCAGTGTTTTGCAGGATGCGAGTTGCCAACCAAGCTCTCCAGGTGCACATGTGCCTGGGTGCACCGGAACAGCGGCTACCAGTCCTTAACACTGCTTTCAGGACGAGAACCGTGCTCTGCGGGCTGCTCTTGCACGAGCAGGTGTGGCCTTAGTTGTCTTATGCGGTGCTTGTAACATCTACATCTTTTTATCTTGTGGCGTGTGAGCTATGCTATGCCGAGACGCGGCCAACGAAGATCTACTCTTGCACGTTGAACACCTCCAGCGCTGGCCTCATTGTAGCACCGAATGGCAAAAGTTGGAGGTGCAGTTTGTAGCGCATCTGCCCTCCTGTTTGCCTGGTCAGCAGGGAGAAGGTTCGCCAAGCCGAGGCCTGCATGCACATGGCTCACTCGCAGTTGCCCTTGAAATTTGTTTTCGTGCGTTCGGCTTGGACAAGTCATGCGCATAAGAGGACTCCCGGCTCTGCAAAAGCTGGGCGCTGGACCAAGACAACCGACTTTTGCACACAGAGCGTGAGCAAGATATGCAGACGAGGCTGCAATCCGCCGATGCAACGATGCACTCAGCTTGTCCGACTCCTAGCAACGTGCATGTTGTGTTGGTTTGAACCGGTGGTGGGATTGGCAACATGTTTGAAGTAGGCTTGATTGCAGGCTCTTGAAACTTGGTGTGGTGAGCCAGCTGGAGCTGGGGAGCTCCGTTCCAGAGGCCCAGGAATGATGTGGACACGCTTTGGCGGAAGAAGGGGTGATGCTATTGACTTGGAGTTGCGTGCCTCGCAGGCCCAAATCAATCAATGCGTCGACGTGGTGGACACCATGCTGACCAAATGGCCTGGGGATGCTGGCCAGCGGCATGTATTGGATTTGCAGCCAATGTTGCCAAGGTCGTTGGAAGAGTTAGAAAACCCTGCTGTGCAAACAGAAGCTCGTCGATGCTTCAACGACCAGCCGCGGTCCCGGACGGTAGCCATTCGAGCTGTGGCATCAGGACACTAAACCTAGGTTTGGCGGGCCAACGGATCATGGGCCCGGTGTGGAGGCTGCGTCGCTGATAGAGGCAGCTGCGTGCAGAACAGTTGTGTCCCGTTTGCAGCGAGGAATCATGGCTGTCGTCGTGGTTTGCATGGATGTTGCGCGGATCTTAATCCGTCGGCGATTGGTTTCCCTGACCACATAAATCTTAAGTCCTGCAAAACATGAGACTAAAACTCGTGAAACCTTTATGCCCAACTCAATCTGACAACGGGAATCAGCCAAATGCAAAAGCACTGTCCGTCCGTTCGATGCCGACCGCTTGATTGCATGCTCTCAGCTGGCACGCCCACCACCTGAGGGGAACCGCTCCGACACAACCAAAGCGACCACGGCAGCACAGTCACAGGTTCTGTTGTGTCACCTGCCGTCCGTTCGATATCGATCGCTTGATTGCATGCTCTCAGCTGGCACGCCCACCACCTGAGGGGAACCGCCCCGATACAACAAAAGCGACCAAGGCAGCATGGACCATGACCGATGCCGAACGCGCAGTAGTAGCAGTACCTGAGAATCCGAAGTACGGCACTACTCCTGGCAAGCCATAACACAAACCGCAGATTCTTGGTGTGTCAGATTCTAAAGCTGACTCGCCTCCCTGCCCTTGCCAACATCCTGGACGCATCAAGGCCACAGAGCCAAGCCAGGATTGAAACCACCAGGATCACTGAAGACGAACAGGAGGACGATGGACCACATTGACAGTTTCAGAAGAGTTTGTTTTTGTCTGCAATTGTTCCTCGTGATCCTCTTGCAGGACCGCGAGTTTAAAACTGCCTCCCCACAGCTAGTGGGCGAACTCCGTGATCAGGTACTGCACTGGCCAGAGTGTCTTACTCGTTGGCCAATATACAAGACTCAAGAAATAAGTGCAGCATGCTTGGCCAGGCGCTCCGCAGCAAGGAGACTCGCGCGCAGCGGAAGGCGTGGTGCTGTATGTTGCGCTGCAGTTGTTTCCCATCAAGTTGCCAGGCCGACCGTGAGCATGCGCGCCTTTTCGAGGCTTCTCGGCGAACAGGGATTTGCTGCATTGCGCATGCTACATCGTGCTACTGCTGCCGCAGGTGCATCGTGCTGAGTGCAGCCGTTGCACAAATCTTGAATCTT